AATTTCTTTTGTCATTTATTCACAATCTTTGGCCCTTTCGTCCACACCGTCAATCGTCTTCGAGCAACCCTCTTACAATGATTACGAAATCTTTACGGATGGTTCGAAAACAGATATAAAGGTTGGTTGTAGTTATGTTGTTTACCAGAACGGGCAGGAGATTGCTCTGGGCCAGTTCAGATTGGGTGAACAATGCACTATTTTTCAAGCAGAACTCTATGCCTTGAAAATGGCCATTACTTGGGCTAACAATGTCCAGCATAAACAAATAGCTATCATTACTGATAGCTCTTCCTCTATTGCAATCCTTCGTAAAAGATCCTTTCACCCAATCGTTTATGACATTAACACTCTCATTTCCAAGTCTTCCAATCGATATTATATTTACTGGACTCGTGCACATATAGGTACCCATGGTAACGAAAGAGCTGATGCCTTAGCTAAGGCAGCTTCCAACGATAATAGTCTTAATATCTCTTATGATAAAATCAGCACCAGTACTCTCAAAAGAATTCTCTGGCAGGATCTCCTATTAACTTGGCAAAACACCTGGGACCAACATAACCACCCTATTACTCATAGATTTATACCTTGTATCAAGACCTTTTTTACATACAAATGGTACAGACCTAATAGTTTTGTTACGCAATTTCTTACCGGCCATGGTCGCTTTCAATCTTATCTAGCGAGATTCGTTAACGCAACCAGTTCAATGTGCTCCCTGTGTGGTGTTACAGATAGTAATGTGCACTACATTTATGAGTGCCCCATGCTTAATTTGGAGCGACATATACTGATTACCACTATTAATTCACATGGCCATAACTGGTCTGACTATAACACAATCCTTCGTGAAAAAGACTCATATGAGGCCTTTTTCGACTTAATCACCAAATACTTTGCACGTACAACAGTCAGTGGCTTTTAGTCAGCTTTGTACTCAATCACTCTCTTGAGTATGATACGATACCATCTTATTCCGATTCATCAAATAATTCTAATTTCAGCAGCCATCATGTTACACATCATAAGCCTCAGGATGTCTGGCATAAGTCTAATTTATCCTGATTATTCAGTAGTTATTCTCTACCAAAGTGTACTGTTTACGTGCGGACAGATGATCAAGACTGCAGCACTAAGTTTACAGTACACAATATATACATTAGTGCTGAAAAACATTTTTCTTCATCCTATTTTGCTTATGGCTGTCTCTTTTTAAGGATGGACTTTGTGTATTGGTGTCGAATGTGACTGGATTTTAGCTGAAATCGCACCAAGCACAATCTTCGAGACACCGCTCGATCGTCAGTGTTTTCTGTATTGTATTGTATTGTGTTATTGTATTGTGTTATTGTATTGTGTACCTATTACGCCTGTGTATTTTACCTTTATATTATAATTAATTATGTATTTTGTAACACCTATATCTATCTGTATCTTTATTATTGTAATTTGTTATCACCGGGTGGTGCTCACTGAGGAACCCGGCATGTACTATTGTGTGCGTTAATAAAGAAATTAATGAATGAATGTACTGCATATCTTTTAATTCTAGGATGTCTATTCACTCACGGATTGTAAAACAATCAAAGCAATTCTCAGATTTAATGAAGACCTTTCACCTTTCACTCTACAATGATACCGAGTAAACTCGATTTTATAGCTATATTTACAAAAAATGCTTTCGGAAACTTACATATAGTCTTAAATTTCACAAATGTTCTTTCTTGTCTTTTAGTTGGACTGTCGTTTAGTTTCTATCTGAACAAAGAGTTAGCGTCGTTCCAGTTAACTGGATTAAGAAAAAAAAAACAACGTAATAATAACGAATATTAAATCTGCTTACTGTATTATCATAATATTTCTGTTTTACATATAAATAAAATTTGTCTGGTTCTCAAACATTATTACACATGTTTATATGTAACAATGTTTGATATTACATATAATGTTTAATGTTTGAGAACAATACAAACTTTCTACAAGTACTCATAAACAATAACAAAAACAAAAAGTAGGCCTAATAATTAAAAAATTGGAAAAAGTTAAACAGATTTCTTTATATACGCATAATTTCTTTTGAAATGACTATATAAAAATTAAAGATAATCCAATCACCTTCCTCTATTCAACTACTGATTGCAACGAAAGTATAAAAAGTTATTTTCCAATAAAATTTCATATTGTTGCTTTGAAATAATGACGTTAATATTCTCAACATTACTGTCAGTTTTCAAAACGACAAGATCATCGTTGACTTTACTTCGCAATCTTTTCTTTATTGAATTTTGGCCCACAGAGTCATCTACTTCTAAAAATTTATAAAATTTTGTATAACCGGGATCATAACCATCGCTAAAAAAACACTTTTCATTTTCCTCAATAATTCTGATACCGTAAAAATATATTTTACACTTTCGAGGAACTTCCAACAAGAATCGTATCATTTGTGAAGTTGGCTTGCGAATATCGTAAAACGATATCTTTTTCTTTCTTTCCAGTTCGAAATAAAGTAAAAGTGTCAAACTTTCGGGAAAATGAAGATAATTAAAAACGCTATACATATAAAGATTTTCGTAATCATCATAATTTGCATTCAATTCGTAACGACCATAAATTTTACTAAATTTGTACAAACGAAGTAAGTTCATTAAATTCTCTATATCCATCAAATTGAAAGCCACAGTTACTATTGAGCATAATTCTTCCCAATTAAATTTCATTTCTCTATGGGCTGCAATCATAAATTCGACTGATACTAAACATTTAGAAAAATAATATTTCACATTTTCGGGAAATGGCCCGTATTCAACATATTCTAATATAAATAATTTCGTTTTCCAAGACAAATTTTTGTCAGGACGAAACGAAGAATCTTGGCAAATAGCCAAGGCTATGAGAAAATCTTTAAAAACGTCGAGAAGAAAATCATAATGTCTATCATTGTCGGAGTATAAACTTTCGACCAGAATGCCCATTCCTACAATAAAATTAAATTCTTCTTCGTTCGAAAAATGCTCTTGCAATGTTTTCCGCAAGATTTTATCTAACGAATGTGAAAGTTTTCCCAATTTAATTAGCAAATTCTCTCCTACGAAATGTTTTCCTGTGTCGAAATTTCGTTCGTTTCCACATTTACATATGTAACTTTCAAAAAAAACACCAAATATTCGAATGAACAAGTCAATGGGCCTACGTATTTCATTGATTTTAGCGCGTTTGAAGATACAGCACAGCATTTGTATTATTAGAGGATGTCTTTCAAATTTGAAATGAAATCGGGGATCGAGCAATTTCTGAATGAATTGCATTTAATTTGATTCGTCTTCCACATCTCTAAACATCAGATTAATGTACTCGGCTCGTTGTATAACATTAAAACCGTAAATTTGGAAATGACGTTGCACGTACTCTTTAAGACATTCACAGACCCATTGTCGACAGGTGACGAAGATCGTTACTCGATGCGAAACGTGAAATGATTCTTCTGTGATGAATTTCAAAACAGATTCTTTGTTAGATTCCTCGTCAAACTCGTCCAAAATGATCAAAAGATTTAATTTCTGTTCTTGTAAAACTCTTTCTCCTTCGTCTCGAGACTCCCGAAATAATCTGTCTAGAATAGAATCTTTTACATTCCTTGTACCAAGATTTCGTAAATTTATGACCACGACCAAATCGAAATGTTTTATGTAAGCCGTCGATTCCTCATCGCGCGACCAATCGTATGCAATTTTCTTGCAAAGAGCGGATTTTCCGAGGCCAGGATGACCGGAAAGTAAAATAGTTTGATGTGTGTTATTTTTATCGAAAAACACTTCGTGTAATTCTATATCTTCTTCCTCGTTTTCATCTACAAACGTTTTTCCCACAGTTATGTCCATGTAGTAATCTTTTAACGGAAAGTTGTAAATTTTTCTTTCGCAACAGATCAATCTTCTACGTTCGAACTCAGCTTCGTAATATTTCTTCAGCCTTTCTTTGCATGTTGACAGTATATCTGTAAGAAAAGAGAAACCTAAAATTACTGCAAGTGAAAGAGAATTTACATTGCACTTGACCGCAAATAAACGGAAGATTATTCGCTATCTTTACATTACAGTTATCTGCAGTTTATGATTAGTTTTAAAACATATATACACTGCTCTCTCTCTCTCTCTATATATATATATATAAATGGACGTGTATGTCCCTATATTTTACTTTTCCGCAAAAACTACACATCGCACGTGAATAATGTTTGTATGTGGTGGTAGCCCCAAGTCTCCATTCGTACATAGGGGTGATTGCGTCTCGATAGCTATAAGGGTGCGGGAGATATGAGGCTGAAAGTGGTTGAAAGTGGCTTTCTATTTCGAATGTTTTGTTCGAATTTGTTCGAATAAATTCGAATTAAATTCGAACATAAAATTCGAATATTGGTTCGATTATAGAACGATTGTAAACGTTCCAGAAACGTTGAAAATAGTTCGTTTGACTAAACGTAAAAATTCTCTAATTAGTCTAGAAACGGGAGTCCTAATTCTTGCATTCTGTGAAAACGGGTAAGATTAGCTATAATGTAATTATCTTAATCTTCAGTATCGTTACTTTTTGCCCAGCGAAGCGGGTTCTTGCAGCTAGATTCTAGATTACTTAGAAAAACAGTCTTTTATATATATATATATATATATAAATTATATTACATACAAATAAAAACCCAGCGAAGCGAATCCTTGCAGCTAGTTATCGATAAAATTGGTTCACAATAAAGACTATACGAAACAATGACTTCCTCCGTCACCGTGTACGAATAAAACCAAAACGAATCTTCGATGGGCCACTGTAAAACTAATCGGCGGTGGATCGGTGTCCCTTGCTGCAGCGCCTCAAGTAATATCTGAATGCCCATATACGCTATACAAAATGAAGGTACGCAACTTTCTGCCTTTTACTTACCTTTTGAGGATTTGCTCGTACTGGCGTTTTCTTCAGTAAAACTAAAACTCCACTTTCTTTTGCGGTTGACCTCCATACTATCAACGACTTTTCTATAAAAGACAAAATATTAGTAACAAAGCCAGAAAAGTCGCAGATTTCCCGTCGTATTTGTTTGAATATTCTTCTATTATTCTTCTATTATTCTTCGATAACTTTTAGTAAATATTGAAATATGTGGTATAAACATTTCGCTGCTTATGTGTTTCTCGCACACTCTTAATTGCGCTTAGTCTCTATCGATCACTTCAAGTGAAACCTGACCAGATGAAATCCTGCCGTAAAAAGTTTTAATATCCAACTAATTTTAGTCTTAATCGAACGCTCTGTTATGTTCTTTGTTTAAATAGAGTAGATGTTGATTAATCGTAATAATCGTTAGACAATTTTTCAACAATAATTCCTCCATGGTACAGAGAAACAGTCATTTAATCACTGTTTCTGTGTACCATGGATAAATTATTATTAATAAATTGTCTAACGATTATTAGTTATAGATAAAAAATATAACTACACAAGAAAATAAAATGACGTTTGGGCTAAATTCTTCGCAGCCATCACACAAGTCTTTTATGTATGTGCTAACATTTTTTAAATAGAAATTCAAAACTAGAAACTATATTGGTCGTCTTTAAAACTCTCACTTACACTCTCGGTCCAGATATGGCACTGATCAATAGATAATTCCTTCAAATGAAACACAGTCTGTAATGGCAACACTAATAATAATCGGGGAAAACAGGGCCCCACTGTACAGGTAGAAGGGCGCACCTCTGAATGAGTAAACGAGTTGATCGATGTCAAGTGTACTGTCTGTAAATCCTGACATGTACAGTACAATAAATCACACAGTTGCATCGCACATCTGACTCTACGGTTGTGCCAGTGTAATTAGTTGAAAGTTTAATTACACTGACACAACCTTAGTTAAATATAAATATTTAATATAAGTAAATAATATTAGCAAATATAATAATCCCAACTAAAGGTAAAACTATATCGAAGTATGTTAAATGATGTAAATTAAAAACAGAAAAATTAAAAATTACTACGATGTATCATACACGTACTCGGGAAAGACAGATTACAATTTGACTGCAACACCCGAGCATTTTCTGAAAGAATTCTTTATTAATTAATTTTTCAAATTACTGTCATAGGGCATAACGTGTTTTAAAATCTCATTAGATTTTAAAATATATTGATGGCCTATGACGGTAGATTGAAAACGTGAAGAATTCTTTCAGCAAATACTAAGATTGTATAATAAACCGTATTAGCAGAATTAAGCCTAGTCTTTATAGAAAGTCCAAGATGGCAATTCCGCGTGTATAGTAATTTCATACACCTGACGAATAATCTTAAAAATAACCTCATACGTATAAAATTTTAACTTATCAATTCAAAAACATAGTTTTAACGGCACATACCTTTTAACCACAACCACAAAATTAGCTGACTGATTGAATAAATCGCTCGGAAAATTCGTAAAATTACAGTTGCTACAATGTATTTTATGTTTAATGTTTTCCGGTTTTAAACAAGAGAAGAAATCTATGGACTTTCACATTCAATATATTTTCATAAACAGATGTCATAGTTGCAAGTACAGTTCAATAATTTTGCAATTCTCGGATATGTCTAATACTTTATTATTCCAAGAACGTTGATCGTTTTACGTACAGTGCGATCTGTCATTTTTCTTTATTAGTCATACATTTTAATTTTGATGGCATTCAGACTCACATTTTCTGATTGCAGACAATAGCGTGAAGAGTGGTCAACAGAATACAATAGCATAGAAAAAGATGACAAATAATTGAAAATAAAGAGAATTTAAATTTTAAAAAATTTAAATTTTCTTATGAAATAATTTGAAAAAATAAAATAAAATTAAAAATTTGAAAGACAAGTTGCGTAACTTTCTCGGCTGTTAGGAAATTTTATTTAAAAAATGACTTTTATATTATTAATCGTACTTACAATAAATAAATTGTGTGAGACTCCATCTGTTATGAGATTTTATCATAAAAACTTTTATATAAGTAATTATTATAAAATAGCATACTTCAATTTCTAGGATAAAATCAAGTTACATAAGTACAGTACTTGTAAATGTAATAACGTGTAAAATCTTCTGATTCCATTGAAGATGTTCGATGAAATTTGAGACCAGTTATGGAAGTTGTAAGGATAGGAGGCCCGACTATTTATATACTAACTTCTGATGCTAACCGGAAGTCACGCCGTTTCAATTGAAACATTTTCCCTCAAAGGTGTTAGTTAGATGACCTTTTAACCACAACCACAAAATTAGCTGGCATTGACTCTATTGTTGTAAGAAAAGTACAGGGGCAAGCCACTACAAATTTGAGGTAAATATCATATATTTTACATAAAATTAATTAAAAATATAATTAAAAATTACAGCCAGACATTTTGACGATGTCGCAATAAATAATTGCGCGTTGGTATGAATTTTACGACAGTCAATGAAATATATAAATATAATATAATAAATAAAATATTAAAAGTGATAACGCTACACGCAATTTGAATTATTTTGCTGGGAAAGGTACGCAACTGATTGTTGGAATTTTGTATTTTGTAATTAGTAATAACAGAAACAGTTTGGGGACTTTAATATATTTAAGTGCCATTAATACGAGATTTCAATTACAGTTGAAATTATCGGACAATATCAATAAACCACCGTCAATTGTTTTAATTTGTTTGCAATTTTTACAATCTTTAGACACGTAAATATATTTACATTTCANATTAAATAAAAAACTTTAAAAGTAAAATATTATGACACATAACGTCACACACGATTCGAATTATTTTGCTGGAAAAGATATGCAATTCATTGCTGGAATTTTGTATTTTATGATTATAAATAACAGAAGCAGTTTGTGAACTTTAATGTGAATGTTGCAATTAGGGCTGAAATTCTTGGACAATATCGATTAAATTTCGTCATTTGTTTTACTTTGTATTGCAATTTGTACGATCTTTAGACAGGTAAAAATGTTTACATTTTAAATAAAATAAATTTTTGTATAATTTGACATTCTTATACCCAGAATAAGAGCAAGTATTGCCTTATCATTTCGTCAACCTCTGTTTTCCTATTAAATTCGAATCTTACATTTTTGTTTCTAAATTGCATAATTAATTGGGTAGCAATTTAAAAAAAATTGTAGACATAAATTCTCACTGTCTTTTCTCAATCTCGAGATAGTGGTTAGAGAGATGAAATCTGAGAAAGGTGTTCAAACGTAGTGGCAGAAGGCCCCGATTAACCACCTAAGAGCCTCTGCTATGTACGGTAAATCACGTTATTTCAATTCAAACATTTTTCCCAAAAGTGTTACGTACATGACTTACACGACTCTATTGTTGAAGAAAAGGTATGATATACAGGTGCAAGCTACTTCTAATTTAATATATGCTAATTCAAAACATGATTAATATTAAAGCTTGACATTGTGATGATGTCACAATAAATAACTGTTCGTTTTGAAGTATTTTTTGTTGTTTAAGTGCTTAAATAATTACTAATTTATTATGTTAGTTATTATTATTACTTCTATCAGTTTTTAAATTTTTATAATGAGAAATACATAAATATGACACCTTTTCTACGGGAAAAGTGTAGAAAGTATCCTAGAAATGACTATTTTATGGAATTATTCATGAAAAATTCGAAGTTTTGAAGAAGAAATTGCAACAGTTTGTTTTGATGATTGAATTACTGAGTTATAAAAAAACTAACTTCTAATTGTTTGAAGTATTTTTAGATTTGACAATTGCCATGGAATTCAATTAAGTAGATAATATGAGTGTAAAGGATAGGTCTTCAGCAAAATATTTCAGCAAAATATTATAAAATAAGGTGAATAGAAATCGAATTTCCATATTTTCTTGTCGTTGTGAATGAATTTAATGACATGTTTTACAAAAATTCCTTTATTAAATTTCTTGGGAAAGACTCTTCGAATGTCGCTTACCGATTGACGATTTTTATTAAATTAATTCACGACGTAAGTCATTCAGTGATGGTGTCACGTATGAAATTTTAATCGAGAGAATTTCTATAATGCAGCAAGAATATGCATTAGTATGAGCTATGAAGATAACAGCAATAAAAAAGATATGTTTAAATCTCGAAAATTGATTTATTTAGATTGTGAAATTTCAAACGAAAAATTAAAATATAATTTCGAAAATAAAGAATTACAATTTAGAGTTAATTTTAGTATTCTGATATTTCTTACATTCTACTTCAAACAAGGATAATAATACAATTATAAATTTATTCATCAGTCATTATTTAATTGGATCGCTGTTTGAAAAAAATGTAGACTCATAAATTCTTACTGTCGTTTGGTTATCTGACGTTCCTTAATCGCGAGAACAAACTTAGGTACTGTACGTGAAAGTCGATACCAGATATGGAAAAACTGGCAGCAGGAAGCTTCGATTAACTATATACGAACTTCTGCTATGCAGCAAAAGTTACGTTGTTTCAATACAAACATTTCCCCTTGAAAGTAGTTAAGAGAGATGGCTGGCATGACTTCATGAACTATAGAGGTAACACAACACTAATTTAAGGTGAAGAGCATATATTTTAAATAAAATAAATTTAAAAACGATGACTAAAAATTGCATCTCAAAATGATGTCACAATAAATAAGTGTTCGTTTTGTTTACACTTTTTATAGCTTAGATCGATTATAATTGTTATCTGTGTTACACAATAAATTTCACTTTTCTATTTCACAAAGGTCTTTCAATTGAGTCTTAATTTAATAAATTTATTAAAATTATAATTATTAAAGTTATTAAATAAAGACACCGGGCCAAACGCCTCCCTCTAGTGCCAAATCGGATGCATAATTTAATTAGTAATATAGCCGTGTATAGCCCCATTGGTTAGTGTCTAGTTTACTTATCTTTTGTCAACGAGCCAACGCTTAGATTGTAATGTAATTAATTTAAAAAAATTGAGCCATGTAAACACATTTTTCTTTTCTTTTTTTTAATAGCAAGTGGCCTGATGCTAAATTTTCAATCCGTAAAGTATTAACTAAGTACAGTAGACCCCCCTATAACGCTTAGATACGTTCCACGTTAATCGAATTTTACGTTGTAGGAATCATTAAATACATGAGCCAATCGCAGCCCGATAGGTGTGAACTTTACGGACTAAGGCTGTTTGAAAGGTTTTCTTCTATAAAATTAACCGATTCTAGACTAATTCCACTCAACATTTCCAAAACACGTATAATTTTTTGGGAATAATCTGTATAAACTATGCTATAAACAAAAAATTATAGGATTACTTACCGAGTGTGCACCATTCGACTACGCCCGTTGTTCAAAGCTTGTCTTCGTCGCGGAACAGCACACGAAACGGCGGCCGCGATTNTAGTAATTTCATACACCTGACGAATAATCTTAAAAATAACCTCATACGTATAAAATTTTAACTTATCAATTCAAAAACATAGTTTTAACGGCACATACCTTTTAACCACAACCACAAAATTAGCTGACTGATTGAATAAATCGCTCGGAAAATTCGTAAAATTACAGTTGCTACAATGTATTTTATGTTTAATGTTTTCCGGTTTTAAACAAGAGAAGAAATCTATGGACTTTCACATTCAATATATTTTCATAAACAGATGTCATAGTTGCAAGTACAGTTCAATAATTTTGCAATTCTCGGATATGTCTAATACTTTATTATTCCAAGAACGTTGATCGTTTTACGTACAGTGCGATCTGTCATTTTTCTTTATTAGTCATACATTTTAATTTTGATGGCATTCAGACTCACATTTTCTGATTGCAGACAATAGCGTGAAAATTGGTCAACAGAATACAATAGCATAGAAAAAGATGACAAATAATTGAAAATAAAGAGAATTTAAATTTTAAAAAATTTAAATTTTCTTATGAAATAATTTGAAAAAATAAAATAAAATTAAAAATTTGAAAAACAAGTTGCGTAACTTTCTCGGCTGTTAGGAAATTTTATTTAAAAAATGACTTTTATATTATTAATCGTACTTACAATAAATAAATTGTGTGAGACTCCATCTGTTATGAGATTTTATCATAAAAACTTTTATATAAGTAATTATTATAAAATAGCATACTTCAATTTCTAGGATAAAATCAAGTTACATAAGTACAGTACTTGTAAATGTAATAACGTGTAAAATCTTCTGATTCCATTGAAGATGTTCGATGAAATTTGAGACCAGTTATGGAAGTTGTAAGGATAGGAGGCCCGACTATTTATATACGAACTTCTGATGCTAACCGGAAGTCACGCCGTTTCAATTGAAACATTTTCCCTCAAAGGTGTTAGTTAGATGACCTTTTAACCACAACCACAAAATTAGCTGGCATTGACTCTATTGTTGTAAGAAAAGTACAGGGGAAAGCCACTACAAATTTGAGGTAAATATCATATATTTTACATAAAATTAATTAAAAATATAATTAAAAATTACAGCCAGACATTTTGACGATGTCGCAATAAATAATTGCGCGTTGGTATGAATTTTACGACAGTCAATGAAATATATAAATATAATATAATAAATAAAATATTAAAAGTGATAACGCTACACGCAATTTGAATTATTTTGCTGGGAAAGGTACGCAACTGATTGTTGGAATTTTGTATTTTGTAATTAGTAATAACAGAAACAGTTTGGGGACTTTAATATATTTAAGTGCCATTAATACGAGATTTCAATTACAGTTGAAATTATCGGACAATATCAATAAACCACCGTCAATTGTTTTAATTTGTTTGCAATTTTTACAATCTTTAGACACGTAAATATATTTACATTTCATATAAAATGAATTTTTCCATAATTTGTAATTCTCATACCTAGAATAAAAGCACGCATTGCCTCATTATTTCATGATTGTTCTATTCGAGTCTCACATATCTGTTTATAAATTGCATAGTTGAGTCGCAATTTGATAAAAATTGTAGACCTATAAATTATCATTGTTTCTCCTTAATTTCAAGAAAAGAGTTAGATGAAATATGAACCATATATTGCCAACACAGGGACGGTAAACCCCGATTAACTATATAATAACTTTTGCTATGCACTGGAAATCACGTTATTTCAATTCAAACATTTTCCCCACAAAGTGTTAGATTGATCACCTACACGAGTCTGTTGTTAAAGAAAAGGTATGATATACCAGGTCAAGCCGATACTAATTTGACGTGGAGAGCATATGTTTTAAGTTAAACAAATTAAAAATATAATTGAAATCGCAGCCGTGAATTGTGACTATGTCACAATAAATAATTGTTCGTTTTTATGTACTTTTTATACGTGTTTAAATAATTACTAATCTATTGTGTTATTTCTTTTTATTACTTGCATTAGCTTTTTTTAATTTTCTAGAAAGCAATAGATAAACGTGACACTCTTTCTATGAAAATGAAGTAGAAAGGTTCCCACTACAAACTATTTCATAAAATTACCTATGAAAAAGAACTTATAACAAAGAAATGCCGAGAATAAAATCGAAAGATTTATATTTTCTTGTCGTTGTGGATGAAATTAATGAAACGTTTAACAGTAATTCGTTTTTGTTGTCGAAACCGTGTTGTATTTATGTATTGTATACTGGCACAATGAAGTGACTTTTCTTCAACACTGGGCAAGTTTCAATCTTTATTCAGTTAGTATAACTGAATAAAGATTGAAACTTGCTCAGTGTTGAAGAAAAGTCACTTCATTGTGCCAGTATACAATACAAAGTAATTCGTTTACAAAATTCTTTGGTTAAGATCCTTGGAATGTTGCTCACCAAGTGGCATTTCTCATTAATTGACGATGTAAATATTAGTGATGGAGTAACGTATGAAATTTCATTTAGCGATTTTCTATGAAGCAGCAACAATATGCACTAGTATGCTCTATGAAGATAACAGCAGTAAGAAAGATTTACTGTTTAAATCTCGAAAATTAATTTATTTAGATCGTGAAATTTCATACAGAAACATAAAATAACATTTCGAAAATAAAGAATTATAATTTACAATTAATTTTGGCATTCTTACATTTCATTCTACTTCAAGCAAGGATAACAATATAGTTTATGAATGTATTCTTCAGTCATTATTTAACTGGGCATCAATGTTAAAAAATCGTAGACCTGTAAATTCCGACTGTCATTCGCCTGTCCGGCCGTCTTTCTTTAATATCCAAAACGGGATTAGTTACAGGAACTAGAAACCAGATATGGAAATAGTATGCGTAAGAGGTTCCGATTAACTATACAAAATCTTCCAAAGCCAACTGGTTCGATGTCACGTTATTTCAATACAAACATTGCTTCCTGAAAGAAGTTAGATAGATGACTGGCATCACTTCACGAGAGTTACAGCGGAAAAACACCACTAATTTCAGGTGAAGAGCATATATTTTTAATTAAATAAATTTTAAAAATATGATTAAAAATTGCATTTCAGCATTGTAAGGATGTCATAATAAATAATTAATCGTTTTGTTTAAATCTTTTATAGTTTACATCAATTATAATTGATATCTGTGTTAAACAACAAATTTCACTTTTATATTTTCACAAAGGCCTTCTGGTTGAGTCTTTTCCAAATAAATTTTTCAATCTTCAATCTGGTGTAACTCTTTAACGCACTTTAACGATTTATTTTTCGTGTTGCTATAAATAAATACGGAAATTTATTTACTTTTATATAACTAAAGACGAAACAAGTTTTTATCGTTTCATATAGAGATTTTTCTTGTTTGAATTTCCATGCGCAATTGTTTTCTCAGTAATCATACCGACGTGTTGCCCCTTGAATGATTCATACGATCAACGACACCAAATCTATTAATTCGTTTAAATGTTATTTAGAATGATTCACTAACGTTATTGTTTTGGTCTTTCTGTATACGACAAGGTGACAAGTGCGCGATCTGCCGAAGGGGTATGCTTCCCGGAAAGACTTTTTACGACATTCGAGTGTTATAAATGTGAAAAAATCTGAAAAAGTCCACGTAACAATGCAGTTGGCGAGGTACGATCCTACGACCAGTAAAGTGGTCAATATATTTATCTACCCAATCATCTGTTGGCCGAAATTTCTGGGACTCGGGCGACTAATTCAAATGCACAATTTTTAAATAAAAATAATATTAACTAAAATAATTCTTTGTTATTTAAAATATATAATTTTAATGTGTCTTCATATAAGGATATAGGCCTATTGATATGTTAATCATAAGGTTTCTATGATCAATGATACACTTCATCGGCCTACTCAATAACGGGTACATCATGCAAAATACACATTGGTCCTTTCTAGAGAATTTAATCATCACATTAGGTAAAGTATACGAAAATACATATTATACGGGCTCATAATTCCTCGGGGTAAGACAATTAGCTTCTTTTGTCTCCTTATTTGCGTATCACTATATTATTTATTTACACAGAAAGTAACGATCCTTGTATTCCTACTGTTATATCGCGACATTTGTTCATAAACTCTTTCACGTTGGCTTTCAACTGCTCATTAATCTAAAACTTCTGCCGTCCTAAATGGTGTTTCAAGTAAGTGAATAAATAAAAATTACTCAATCAAAACTGTAATTAGGAAAACAGAGGTTTAAAACTAACGAGGAGTTGAAGGCCATCCTGAAGGTGTAAAGAAAACATTCTTCGATTAGTGCATAGAAAAGCTGCTACCACATTATAATAAATGCCTTCATCGAAAGGGCAATTAGGTAAAAAATACATTCAATATTTATCTAACTATTCTAAACAAAACAGTTTTGATGTTCTCAGTTCGTTCTTTGCTGGCACATCGGAAATTGAAAAAATGCGTGAAGCAAATTAAAAATTAAGTTAGACACCATCGAACCTCTTTTAAAATTCCTATAAGAATTAAAGATAATCCAATCACATTCCTCTATTCAACTACTGATTGCAATGAAAGTATAAAAAGTTATTTTCCAATAAAGTTTTATATTGCTGCTTTGAAATAATGACGTTAATACGCTCAACATTACTGTCAGTTTTCAAAACGACAAGATCCTCGTTGACTTTACGTCGCAATCTTTTCTTTATTGAGTTTTGTTCCACAGAGTCATCTACTTTTAAAAATTTATAAAATTTTGCATAACCGGGATCATAACAATCACCAAAAACATATTTTTCATTTTTCTCAATAATTCTGATACCGTAAAAATATATTTTACACTTTCGAGGAACTTCCAACAAGAATCGTATCATTTGTGAAGTCGGCTTACGAATATCGAAAAACGTTTTCTTATTTTTTCTCTCCAATTCGAAATAAAGTAGAAGTGTCAAACTTTCGGGAAAATGAAGATAATCATAAAAGCAATACCTATCATCTTTTACGTGATTATCGTAATTTAAACTTAATGCCCAACGACCATAAATTTTACTAAATTTGTACAAGCAAAGTAAGTCCATTAAATTCCCTACACGCATCAAATCGAAAGCCACGCTTACTATTGAACATAATTCTTCCCAATTAAATTTCATTTCTGTATAGGCTGCAATCATAAATTCGACTGATACTAAACATTTAGAAAAATAATATTTCACATTTTCGGGAAATGGCCCGTATTCAACATATTCTAATATAAATAATTTCGTTTTCCAAGACAAATTTTTGTCAGGACGAAACGAAGAATCTTGGCAAATAGCCAAGGCTATGAGAAAATCTTTAAAAACGTCGAGAAGAAAATCATAGTGTCTATCATTGTCAGAGTATGAACTTTCGACCAGAATGCCCATTCCTACAATAAAATTAAATTCTTCTTCGTTCGAAAAACGCTCTTGCAATGTTTTCCGCGAGATTTTATCTAACGAATGTGAAAGTTTCCCCAATTTAATTAGCAAATTCTCTCCTACGAAATGTTTTCCTGTGTCGAAATTTCGTTCATTTCCACATTTACATATGTAACTTTCAGAAAAAACACCAAATATTCGAATGAACAAGTCAATGGGCCTACGTATTTCATTGATTTTAGCGCGTTTGAAGATACAGCACAACATTTGAATTAATAGAGGATGTCTTTCAAATTGAAAATGAAATCGGGGATCGAGCAATTTCTGAATGAATTGAATTTAATTTGATTCGTCTTCCACATCTCTAAACATCAGATTAATGTACTCGGCTCGTTGTATAACATTAAAACCGTAAATTTGGAAATGACGTTGCACGTACTCTTTAAGACATTCACAGACCCATTGTCGACAGGTGACGAAGATCGTTACTCGATGCGAAACGTGAAATGATTCTTCTGTGATGAATTTCAAAACAGATTCTTTGTTAGATTCCTCGTCAAACTCGTCCAAAATGATCAAAAGATTTAATTTCTGCTCTTGTAAAACTCTTTCTCCTTCGTCTCGAGACTCCCGAAATAATCTGTCTAAAATAGAATCTTTTACATTCCTTGTACCAAGATCGCGTAAATTTATGACCACGACCAAATCGAAATGTTTTATGTAAGCCGTCGATGCCTCATCGCGCGACCAATCGTATGCAATTTTCTTGCAAAGAGCGGATTTCCCGAGGCCAGGATGACCGGAAAGTAAAATAGTTTGATGTGTGTTATTTTTATCGAAAAACACTTCGTGTAATTCTGTATCTTCTTCCTCGTTTTCATCTACAAACGTTTTTCCCACAGTTATGTCCATGTAGTAATCTTTTAACGGAAAGTTGTAAATTTTTCTTTTGCAACAGATCAATCTTCTACGTTCAAAGTCAGCTTTATAATCGTTTCTCAGCCTTTCTTTGCATGTTGACAGTATATCTGTAAGAAAGGAAAAACCTAAAATTACTGCAAGTGAAAGAGAATTTACATTGCACTTGACCGCAAATAAACGGAAAATTATTCACAATTACATAAGGATGCGGGTTATACTTAGATTTTAATTGTAGTTATGGAGTCGCTGTTATGGAAGAATGGGTGCTTTGTAATAAAATAAAAGTATTCGCTGATATTTTTATTGCCACGATAAACTCCTGGCAGTACAGACATTACCGGATTCAGATACTGTTCTGTTATAAAGTTTATAACTCGATCCTGAATTGTGCGTTAGCCTCTATCGATAACTGGGAGTGAAACCTGACACGATGAAATTCTACCGTAAGTAATTTTACGGTTTAACTAATTCCCGTCTTAATCGAAAGCTCTGTTACGTTCTTTATATAAATAGAGTAAATATTGAATGAACGTATTAATCGTTAGACAATTTATTACTAACAATTCTTTCGTGGTATAAAGAAGCAGACAGGTCTTTATTTGTTCGAAGTGTTGGTGATGGCTATTCCTGTTGTTAATTTAACTTTTGTTCTTTCACTGAGATTCAGTATTAAGAATGTTGATATCATAGAGTCCATAGAAAAATTCGAAGCAGCAGCAAGTGTCTATGCCTACGATATAGTTCAAAATCTTTTTGGTCATTTAACTACTCGATTTGTCACTTGCTTTAATCGCCAGTTGTTTCTATACATTTGGTACGCTTGAAAGAAGAAACTGTACTGACGAAACTCACTTTTTTCATAAATCTGGTAACGGGATAAGTAATTGTTAACTCCTGTCTTATTTTTTTTACTATGATTATTATTTACACATAAGTTGGTAGCCAGTTAATTAAAATTGAAACTAATTATTAAACTCTGGCCTTTACAATTACAACGAAACCGAAACTAAAGTTGAAATAACACACGCAGATTTATTCAAATGCCAAAACTTTAATAAAATATAAGTTTAAAGTGTAATTTACATTTTAATTGTATTTACTTTACATATAATTTATTTAAAAGTTATACTGTATATTAATCAATTTTCGGTACTATTCATTAAGCGAGAATGTCCAACCTCGTCAAGTATTTACGCTCAATGGTTACGCTTTGGCACTTCAAATTTCACTTAAATACAGTCGACCCCCCTATAACACTGTTGATAATTCCGTTTTATATGAATTCCATGTTGTACGAGTCACTTAGATTTTACAAATACGTAAGCCGTTAACAGCCCGGCACACATATTTGTAAAATCTAAGTGACTCGTACAACATCAAATTCATATAACACGGAATTATCAACAGTGTTATAAGGGGTCTACTACAAATATAACTAAACCAAACTCAACCTAAAGTAGCGAAAAGCAAAAAAACTAGAGTATTGTCTAATCAACAGCTACATAACAAGATAGACGTTTAATTACAGAGATAAAATGTTAGCTAAATATAAGAAAAGATAAACCTAAAATATTTGAAATACAATATACCCTAAATGAAATTAAATTAATAAGTGAGAGATTCATTTAATGGTAATTAAACGTAATAAAAGATTAGGAAGAAAACACTTACCTGCCATAATACACGTTACAAAAGATTAATAACGCCGTATTCAACGTACTGTACAAAATCATTAAAATAACTAGAAGGAAAGGACGACATAGGTAGCATTTATTTCACCATTGTCAACGTTGTACTATTCTTAGCCAATGAACGAGAGTGTTTACAAAAAAACGAAACAGGTATTGGGTGAACTGCAAAGAGGTCAGTCATGTTTTCCTTAAAGGGGAAAAACAAATATATTTGATCAATTGTAACTGGACTTTTTAAATGTAAAATTAGACTTTTAGAGAATATCAGAGATTATTATTGCGATTCTTACTCGAAACATTAATTATGGAATTTTTAAATACTGGATTTCGCACTTTAGATACTTCTTTGATTGTGAGAAAAACAGACCGAATAGATTTATTTGTATACGAGGATTTTTCTTCGATAATAACGTAAGGAAATTAACCTAAATAAACGATAAATAATTTGTTTATGTTAATAAGTAGAAAGTTATAAAAATTGAAAATATATGTTAATTGTAAGTCACCTGTTAATGTTTATAAAAATCTCATGACAATAAATTGTATATAACTCATTTTTACTTAGTTTGTCGGCTTAAAACTTTTTTGTAGAAACTAGTAAATTTTTGAAAATAAACTGATTTTAAATAATGATGATAATCTACGAGTAAACCTCGTTAAATCCTAACGTTTTAGAAAACAGCATAGAAGAAAAGCAGACAAGAAATCGAAGTAATTTTCCGTTAATTTCGTTAATTTCCAAATTGAATTAAATAATAGTAAACCGTAGCGAAACATTAGTTCAATAAACAGAAGTCTCTTATTTTTCTTCATAAAAACTGGAAAATGGATAGGTCAGCGTTTTGTGACCTTATCCATTCCACCAATAGTGGGTCGGTTCCTCTTGAGATAACATCAGACAGAAGAAATTATTTATACAAAATTTATAAAAAAACTAACAAATGATAAATGGTCTGATGCTTTACATAAATTTTTGTGAAATATGTTAAATTCGATTTATAAAACGCATTTGACATGCCATAGGATATTTGCAAAACATACTTGTAATTGAAAACACTCTTTAAAATGAATCAAAGTTTATCTAATGCATACTTTGTGATTTTAAATAAAGGAAATAGTTTGTGGACCTCACTTATTTAATAAAATTTATTTAATAGTCAATAATTGAAGGGTTGCAAGTACAGTTAAATAGTTAAATAGTAATTGTATAATTCTCAGGCAATGTCGATAACATTAATTTAATTGTTTTTATTTTGTCATCGTGTAATTTATACGATATTGAATAACGTTAACTCATTCTTATTTCTTCGAATAAAAGAACACATTTCCTGTTATTCCGTGAACTTTGCTTGTCTTGTCAGATTTCACTCTAGCGTTTTTATTTATAAATTCTACAATTAATTTCCATTAAAATTTTTTTTTGTATGTTTTCAAATACTGTTTAAGTAGTAGAACGCAATACATGAAAGTCTATTTTAATGCATTGCCAATGAAAAATATAAACTAACTTGGGATATAATAGAGTTATCATGTCTGATAACTGATAACTGTATTATATTCCAGTGTTTCTTCAGATAAATTTACATTAAATTAAATATACATTAAATTACAGTGTTTGGAAGAGAAAAACGATGGATATTAGACTTCTTAAATGATTAGAAGACCAGGTTATGAAATAAGAATGTTATTTCAGTAAAGAATTCATGATTGGGCATTGGATGAATTATCTTCTATGAAGTATTTCGATTTTTCAATTTTCATGAAGTTCAGGGAAGTAGATAATGTTGTTGTATATAAAAATACCATTTTAAGAATACATTCAGCAAGATTCTAAGGATAATTGTAGATAGAAATGAAAAGAAATACACGTGAAACTTCTACTTAATTTACATACGTTCAATGAGTTATATTTCTGTTTTCGGAGAATAAAGCTCGATTATCTGAAAGATACTTATGAAATAATGATTAAATCGATGTGTGGGTACAGCCAAGTTAGAAGTGCACAATATTGATAATTTCGTTTCTTGTATGGCACAATGATATCTTGTAAATAAGCGGATTTTAAAGTAAATATATGAAATTAGTATTTAACGGAATAGATATTAAGTTTATTATGTAAACCAAATTGACTACCATTAATTTAATACATCGATACAATAATAATCAACGAAATTAAAAATGATTGTATTCCTATTATATTATTGTTTGACCTAAAATGTTTTATTCAATTAATAAATATAGTTATAAGTTTAAAGCTCGTTTATGTAAGTGTATAAAAATGATTTGTTTAATTATTTAAACATCGAGTTTCTCAATAATAGTGTAAAGTTTATAGTAATAAACCATACAATGATCAAAGGAAATTTAAATATACTATAAAAAAATTAAAATATGCTAATTTAGTGAATAATACGAAATGAACAAGACTTAGTCACACGTAAAATAAAATTACCTTTCCTGATTGCAATTTTATAATATTGTGCTGTTTATATTTTATTGTTGCCTGGAAGTTAGGAAAAACAAGAATTAACACAATTAATTAATAAATATTGAAAAAGTAAATAAAAATTGTATAAGTTTGTAAATTACAGAATTTTTATTTACTTTCTTCTTCATAATTTGGCATAAAAAATTTACCAACGAGTTGCGTAACTTTTTCGGTTTTAATGAGGTTTTATTTTTAAAAAATTGTATTATTAATCAAAATAAATAGCTAATATTGTATGAGACGCCATTTGTTATGAGATTTTATCTATTTATCTATTTTAATTATTATAATATAGTAAAAGACTTAATCTTGAGGGTAGAGATAAGTTTTGTACGACACTAAATGCTAACAATAATTAAAATCATTTAGTCTGAGCTTTCAGGCGATATAGCATGTAATCACTCTTTATTTCTGCATCGTCTTGATCTTTCACGGCCAAAATTTAACAGAATCAATGATCCTTATATACACGCTACCGGGCCAAGTTTCGTTGCTTCATCTTCTGTCCGTCCTGAAATATTAAAGGAAATAGACTACAATAAACACATACACACATGAAATTTTTTGCAGCTTATTTTTTACTTTTTTTTGGTTTAGAAATCTCAAGACGTGAAGATTTGCAGAAAACTCGGTGAATGTAATTTTACACGATTACAATACTTTTCCTTGTTATGTATACATAACAGCCGGGAAAGTAAAATGCCACACTTAACTATAACTTTACGACAAGATTCATGGAATGATAAAGCAACACTAATTGCTTTTAATCCGAGTTACACGAATTTTCAATTATATAAAAATTAATTTTACGTGAGGTTAAAATTTCCACTCATTATTAGCATTTACAATTTGTTTTTATAAAATTCATTTTTACCTTCAAAATTAAATTTTTTGACATTTTGTAATAGTTAAAAATATATTAAAAAATTTTTAAATAAAATATGATAACAGATGGCGCAACAAAGATTTTAAATGTCGCCGGAAAAGTTGTGCAACTCGTTGCCGGTTTATTTCCTTCGCTATTTTATCTATATTTTCAAGTTTGCAGACAAATGAAGTTATTCATTTTACATGCATTTCTGTTCGAACTCAGAAGAACAGCTTAAACAGTTCAAATGAAAAGCAGACCATTTATTAATGATACAGAAAGCTATAAAAACTTTAATTAAGGATAATTAATTATGCATTTAGCTGGTGAAGATTAATAACTTCCCGAAGCTATTGCATTTCGAATGGGTAGATCGACTGTTTGCACCATCATCAATTAATGAAACTTGTCGAGCTATTTGACATTTGTTGGCTAATCATTACGTAAAGATTCTAAGCAGGGAAGAATTTGTGAAATTTGAAATTTGATTAAAGATGAAACTTTTCCTCATTGTGTTGGTGCAAGAATCTGTTAAAGTAAAAATTGCTGTGACGAAGCCAGAGTTTTGCAATTTTAAAATTTTCATCGGTTGTCAATTAAACATTAACTTTACGCTGATCGGGTTCGCACATTATCGATAAACCCGTGTAGTCTTCTGGGTTTTTTTTACGCATACAACGCATGAACAAGGACCACATTTTCTGTAAAAAATCTTTTCGGTAAGCAAATTGCTTACGTCTTTCTTCGTAATTACGTGTCAAAATATATATATATTCAAAAATAAAATTACTTCACGTACGAGTTGCTTAGCACGCGCGGTGATTAGCACGTTTCTAATTGTTGCATAAACAATAATAATTAACAATATATTTTCGACTATTGTCGAAGCGTTTTGTTCGATGCGAATTGATCGAATGCGATTTTTGTTCTAAAAAATGAGTTTACCGAGTGAGTAAAACTATATTTTTATTGTAAAATTATATTAACCGTTTTGTAACGTGTTAGGAATGACTACAAAAACGTAAAACTTAGTATTAATTTACGACCAGATGTTTAAAAATTCCAATAAAATGTAATACGTTGATAAGAACGGCGAATATATTTCTCCGTTGAATGGAAATGATTCCGAGAAACTCTTAATTACAATTAATTACATTAAGCACATTTCCATATTTAACTTTAAATAGTTATTAGACAGAAACTGCAGAGAGAAATTACGAAAATTACAATCAGATATTTCTTAGTGTCATTAACGAAATTTGACTTTGCATTCATTTTTTATCGGAGACAGTTATAATATTAAGCATATTTTTTGCAAAAATAAGAATTTATTAATTTATTTCTGGATCTTATCCAATATCTCACGAGTGGGTTTCATTAATAAACATCCAGTCATTTATTTCGACAGGGAATAACTCTTCAGTTTTCAAATTCAGGCAAAGAAAGTTTTACGAATTTCTGTGTTTATTGTGTTTACTTTTATTCTGTAGACTGCGATAAGGAAATAGAAGTTGATAATTCAAATGAACGTGTCTCATGTGTTTCTAAAGAAGTCACCCTGGAGGATTCTGTCAGTGTAATAGTACATATTATTTTGGATCTGGCAGCACGTAAGAGAAGAGAAGAAGCAAAATCCTCTTCTTCTGTAAGTTACAGTTCAATAGAAATAATTGAAACTAATTTAATAATTTTTATCATTTAAAGGTTTAAAACTAAAAAACACAATACAACAATACACAATCATATAAAATGTGTTATTTAAAATGGCTGCAAATTGTTTATTTATTATTAAGTAAATATTTTCTGAGTTAATTAAAAAAAACACTACGAGTACTGTAAGTTTATACTATCAATTATATTATTTACTTTTTACAGGATTCCGATGAGAAATTGGGCGTGGACCCAGAATCATTGGCATTAAGCGAAGAAATGGTAGCATTGGATAAAGGTGAGGTTACAAAAACATTATAAAAATTAGCCGATTTATAAAATAATTTCTTTAACAATTATTAAGGAATGATTTGACGTTAAACTCATGCTGTTTAAATCTATTTCAATTATTAAACTTAATATTAGTTATCCATTTTTAGTGTTTTACGCGTGTTTGATGTCGTAGTTTATTTTCTTCAAAACAATTCAAAAGTAAATGATTAATTTCAAAATGTTTATTTATACAAAGATTTCATTTATTTCGTCAAAAACCCTTTTGATAATGAGTTTTGTTACTTTTTAAGTAACATTTTCAACGGATGTTATATAAATATTCACCAATAAACATGATTAATTTGGAGTAAAGTAACAAATGAAAGGAATGCATTAGACACAATCTTTACCTTTACGAAATAATTCATTGTTTTGGTCTTTTTTGTCACTTCTCATATCAAATTTAATTGAAAATTAATTTGTCATCTGTCAAAGCATATGTCGAGGTATTTCCAATAATTTTAATACATTAACAATATAATTGATTAAATTTTACTTTTTCGGCTGTTATAATATTTTAATCGTGTCACATTTGATTTTCAAGGTTCCTGGAATCGCACACAAAAAAGTCAAAAAACAAATCACCGAAATATGTATGTGTGTATTCAAGTATATTTCGTATAATATCTCACGATAGGTAAACATTACAAACGGAAATTTGCACGGTAACTTATGTAATAAGGGAAATGGAGGACATTCAATTTTGGTAGTTTAAGGTCGAAGAAGTAATCAATATAATTGGGTCACCCATCATGTCTGGTAGAGAGTCGGTCTTTATGAATATTTTACACGTTATTACCACTTACGATTTTGCATACAACTCATCCGTATTTTTAAAATTAAGCTTTCTATGGATTTTTTGATTGTGCATTTATACACTATCTGTCACAGACAGTGTGTAAATGTAATATAAACGCTGGTAGAACTGAGACATCGAGAACTGAATTCGAATTCTTGTGATATGTAGGAGGAAATTTAAATATAATATTTTGTATATAAATTCGTCGGGATTATTATTACCGACATCCGGTGTATTTAATACAAGTCGTAGTTTGCCCCTGTATTCAAATCCACTTAAAAAATAGACAATTCGTGGAAGGTACGCAGATTTTTGTAACAATATTGACTGTATTACATTTTCGATGCTTTGATTCGTTCATATATTTTCATAGTAATTATATTATTTTACCTCACTGTATACACAATGGTGCTATTTTCTGACTTCCTGTACAGTTTATATAGAAATATATAGACATAATTCTATATGAACTTATTATCCTGGCGCTATTTCTTATAATAAATATGTTTGAATGCCTCTAGGCATTACGATATAAACTTAGAAAATAATAAATTGTTAAATGGTTTTCTTGTAGAAAAAATTAAAAACAAGGAGATTCTGAAAAAAAATAATAAGTTGAGAGAATCAATTCAATTAAAAGTGACAGAAAATGCGGATAATATTGAATAGATCTTCAGACAAAGATGAATCCATGACGGCTGATGATGATGATGAGGTAAGAAAATTTTTTGTAATTTTCCTTAATTTACCCTTATAAATTCATTGACGGATCCTCGGTGAACTTTGACTATTAATAATATTTTACTAATTCACGTTTTTTCCTTTTTTCTCCTGCGTATTTCTCCTCCGTGTGAAATAATTCTATATATTTTAAATGATAGCACGAAATGATTTAAGTTATAAACTTTACGTTCAAAATTCCAAAAAAATAATGAGTATAATCAAATTGTAAATATTTAAATATTACTGTATTAAATATTTAAATATTATTTATTAAATATTAAATATAAATGGACAAAGTTAATAATAATAAAGCAAATTAAGACATTTAATTATTGAAAAATTTTCTGTTACAAGCGAACTTTTGATCATTTGTGTTTGTCGTTTAACTTGATTAAAATCCTATTGTAAATGCTGGGCATTTCAATTAATATTTTATATTTAACCATTTTAAATAAGATTTACAGAAGACAACTCGTGTTTTTCTAATAAAAAGTTTTCAAATTTTTTAAAAGATTAAAATACACTATTTTTCATTATTTTCGATTATTTATTGTAATTATTCTTGCATTACTTTAGTAGTATTGTTTTCGAACCAAAATTTTATATATGATACGTATTTTCATATGAGACTTACGAAGTTTGAATAAATTATACTTGAAAAAAGTTACTTTTGTTAAATAAACTTTTTCTTTCGATTAAAATATACTCGGGATTTAATTTTCGATAGTCTTAATTGTAACAACTGTATGTTTCAGTTTGTATGGCATTCTTTACTTCATATAAATGCTTTTCTGCCTTTATATAAAGTAAAAAATGCCATACACACTTAATATCTAAATTGTGTAAATAATGATAGCTTATCACAACGATAATATTTATTAAATTAAACGAAAACCTTATATTTTTACCATAATTAATTATATAGGGGAGACCGGGGCAACTTCGGCATGCGGGCAAGTTTGTCAAGCGCTTTTTTTTAAAAACAAATCAAAAGGAGACTTTAGTTATAGGTTAGGCAGTTGAGTTTTATTGGTGGCTTGTTGAGTGTAGTGTTTTTATTGTTCTCCAACAAGCGTAGTTGAATTATCAAGCAAATTTTCATTTTCGTTCAATTCCATATAATATTTTTTTTCCATTTATATTGAATTGGCAGGTTTTGTTATAATTCCATGATAACGAAAGTTACTTTTCCTGTTAGAAGGATGTAACTTCAACTTATTCACGTGGCCAGATCGTGGCTTGGCATTCTGTTCTCAGGGTTGTACTTAATGTTTCGAAATCATGACTAGCGGGGTAAGATCGGCAACATAAAGCCACATTAGAAGCAAAGGATAAAAATCAAACAGATGATAAATGAAAACATGTTTGCATTTGTTATTCATGTATATATGTCTTTGAACTTGCATTTCGTTGTAATAATATTAAATGGGTGTTGGATTTGTATTTCTTTGTTTTAATAGTGAATTCCAACTTATACATTGTTAATAACATAATTTTATATACGTGCCTATCTTGCCCCATTACTGTTGCCCCTATACCAGGGGCAACTTTAATAAAAATAATTAAAATAATTACAACTTTACAAAAAGAGAGAAGTTGCCGATCTTGCCCCTATACCCGGGGCAACTTCGTCAATTTCTCTCTTCTTGTAAAGTTGTAATTATTTTAATTATTTTTATTTCCAAACTGATTTTAACCAGTTCTATAGTAAGGTAACATTCCAATAGACGATATGCAAAGCTTTTTTTTTCAGTTTACAGCAGTATTTATTACACAAAATTTAAGTAAAGCTTAACATGCCGATCCTTCCCCGGTCTCCCCTATATTTTGATTTAAAATCATAGTTATTTACATCTACATTATTTTTATATTTATATAGATAAATATAAATATTATAATTGATAAAGAAAATTTTATTAAATCTATCGAATATTCATTTGTTTTTAAGTTATTTTTACGTTTGTTATTGAGGTTGACAATACAGTTGTGTGGAAAGTTACGTCAATTGTGTTTTATTTATTCAGTTTCGACCTGTATCCAGCACTACAGAAAGATTTTTAAATTATTCATTACAGAACTGAAGAGTATTTCATAGCAATGCGCAATCGAATTCTTCAGCTGCAGAAAAAGAGATAAGCTAATTAATCATTTATACCTGAAGATCTATTTCTGGTGAAGGTCGTGTATTGAGAATATATACATATCTGAGAGAACATTGAGAAATTAATAGTTACTATTTATACACAGGCTTTGGTGCATGCTATAGCAAGAGAATATGATTTGACATATGCTATAAAAGTTTGAAGACCAACATATAACGTGATTTTAATGCTTTGTAAAAGCCTTAAGATTTTAGTAGAATACAATCAGACATTTTACACATGAACATGTTCAACTACAAATTCATAAATGTTATTCTATAGGAAATCTGTAGTAAAAATTTGAATGCTTGAAAATTGCAAATTTTCAAGCATTGAATTGAATGCAGTATAGCATTCAAATTTTACTTAATTTATTTAAATTTTACGTACAAATTAACACACATAATTTTCATTACTGTACGATGTAAAGTATAAGTATAATTATATACAAAATATAATTATATCTCCATAAAATTAACGGATTCGCTATGCCCCAACTTTCCTCGATTTAACGAAACAATATATCAGATAGTTTATTAACAAGTAGTCACTATAAATGAATAGTAATATGCAGTATAGCTTATAAATAATTTATTAATTTTTAATTATTTACACTCCATAAATTACCTTTAAACGGTAATATAATTTAATATTTACTTTTCTGAAGTGAACATTCGTGCCACCTCCGAGTTTTCTATTAATATTTTATATAATTAATATACAGTAGACCCCTCTAAAACTGTTGATAATTCCGTGTTATATGAATTCCATGTTGTATGAGTCACTTAGATTTTACAAATTTGTGTTCCGGGCTGTGAACGGCTTACGTATTTGTAAAATATAAGTGATTCGTACAACACGGAATTATCAACAGTGTTATACGGTGGTCTACTGTACTTTTTTATTATTTTTCGAAAATATCCAGTTATTTCACTACCCCTTATAAAGTTAAATGGAATTTCTTATTCTGTATGAAAGAATAAGATAAAAATTTAAATGCTTTAAGATTTTCCATCGTTTCTAACCTTTATACGACGTTGATTTTTATCATAACAATACTGACCAATACCAATCCTCCACGCTAAATTTTGATGCGAAAAAGTTATTTTAATTTATACAAGAAAAGTCCAAATAGTTTTTAACATGTTTGCCACATTTGATTTGAGTGAAATTGATATCTTTTTCTACGGGCAGTTTGCTGTATTTTATTTTCTGTTTTCCTATGTATTTCACAATCACCTCATATTTAACGTATTGTCGAAACAGCAATTAAAGTAAATTGTTCGCTAGTGAATCTGTAACACTGCAAAACAAGCATTAAATATTAAAAAAAGCAATTTCAAACATAAGACTTATATGTTTACACAATTATTTATTTTTTACATATGTTATAATATTACAAAAATGTTTTAAACGACGACTCACAACGTTCAACAATTTAGTATAACCATTTCATTATGCGGAAGTTCGTCAGTGATAAATAGCTGTAATTTCATAAAAGGAGGTTACACGATTCTTTCATAGAAAACTTAATATATATTTTAAAAGAATTCTATATTATTTCACATTTTAAATTCTGTTTACTGGCAGAAGTAAATAAGATACGATTGCGTAAAGTTTCGTATTGCTCGAATGAGAGGACGAAACTGTTAGATTGTTCCGAATCGTCGACAGTTTCCAATGCAACCAACATCTCGTCTTCACTTATATTTAATGATTTCCGGATGTCAGACGAATTCAAGTTGTATTTTACGTTGGTGAACCTCCTGAAACAACTATCCACAGAACAATGTACGCCAACAAAATAAATGTCTACGTTAATTACGTTCATTATTAAGATAATGCGTGAGACAGGTTCTCTGATATCGTATAAATTATTCGAAATTTTTTTGTCAAGTAAGAGAACAAAATAAATCTTAAAATTATTCGTATAATTCCAGTGGCTCAAGAGGCAATCCTCGTATTTAATGTATTCTGCTAAGGTCGCGAAAAAATATAAGTACACTTCTTTGAATTCATACAAGTTAAATAAATCATCATAATTTTCATAACTAATCAGCAATTCATAAAGATAAAATTTCACTTTTGCACGAAAACGAAATTGTTCCCAATTTGTTTTCAGTTTGATTTGTTTGTGAGCGCGGAGAAGGAATTCAGGCATAAACTTTTCTCTCTCTACATGTTTAAAAAACTGTTTCGGTAAAGGTTTATCCTTATAAAGTCCCATTAAAAATAATAACTCCATATCATATGGAATAGATGGAAATTTAATAAATCCGAAATATATAGATAAAGCTGTAAGAAATTCGCCAAATGTCCGATGAACAAAACTGTATCGGATGATATTATCGCATTCAGAAAAGGAATCCAGAGTAAGAATGTCCACTCCAGTAATGAAATTGTGTTCAACTTCATTCGGAAATAAAGCCACCAAATCTTCTGATGTGATAACAAATTTGTACCTCTCTAATCTTCTGAATTTCATTAGCAAATTTTCTCCTACAAAATATTTTCCTCTTTTAAATTTATCTTTTTGATTAGTTTTCCTAACGTAACGTTCAGTTATAAGAGTAAATATTTTGATGTATAAATCAGCCATCGTTTCAAGCATAACAATTTCGCCATTCCGATGAAGGCAACACAACATGTGCAGCATCAGAGGACATTCTGATATTTCTCGGTAAAAAATGTTTTCTGTTAGTGCAGAAATCAGTTCGTTCGCTTTACTTTCCTCTTCTCTAAACATTATTTGAACATATTTTTCTTGATATTCTGGAGAGAACCCTTTGATCACTAATCTCATCTTCATGTCCTCTCTGATCTCTTCCACTGCTTGAGGTCGACTCGTTACCAAAATAGTGATTGTGCGAGAAATATCGAAAGATTCGTCTCTTATAAATTTTATAATTTTAGATTTATCTTGAATCTCATCGAACCCGTCTAAAATAACCAAAACGTTCAGTTTTTTATCTTGCAGTTTCCAATTTTTATCAGTTAACTCATGAATATTATCGGATAATGCATCTTTTACACTTTTATCGCCTAATTCTCTTAACATTACAACGAAAGTTAATTGAAAATGTTGCAGATAATTGGAGGATGTCCAATCGTAGGCAATTTTCTTGCATAAAGTAGATTTACCGCAACCGGGATCTCCTGTAACTAAAATAGTTTGGTGTCCATCTTGTTCTAAGGCAAATATCTCATTCAGACTTATTTTCTCTCCGCTTTTGTTTCCAAATAAATCTGCTTTCTCTACAGTTAATTCTACAAAGTAATCCTTTAATGGAAAATCGTTTCTCTTTCCATCCCACAAAAAAGACCTCATATAAGAAAAATAAGTCAGATATTTTTCCTTTAACTTCTGGCAGCAATTGTCGAACATTTCTATAAGTAAAAAACATCATAATTAATTAAACATTGTCTCATTTCTTTTACATTATTTTCGTATTCGTAATTACATAGAAGCTTATTTCGTGTTTATGATAAATTTCCTCTATTTCTTTTAGTACTATAATGTATACCAGTATTCTTTTCAATCTTTCCTTTATCGCTGACCGATAAAAATACGTGACTGTGAATTGTGCTTATTTATTAAGCTTATAATGCTTATCTATGCTATAGCCAAGTAATGACAAAAATTTTTTGCGGAGGAGATCAGATCGTGTACTGGCGGTTGAAAAACACTGACATACATAACTATTTAGGTAAACTTTTGAAAAATATGTGGAAACGTAACAAAATCTCAGTAAACAAATAAGTATGGAATATGGACAAGTAATTTTCGAAAGTCGTGATATACAAATGTCTTTGTACTGAAATTAGTTTGAGACACATTCGTCTATTGGCTTCTCTTCAAAATTTTTACCAGTCTGCCAATTATACGAAATTGGCAAAATAGAATTAAATAGTTCAAGTTTGGGCAAAATGTATAGCCGGATAGAAATTATATACACGACTGTACGTTCTGCCCAACCCTGTACTATTTACATTTGTTGAATACTTAGCAAGTAGAAAATAAAACAATAAAAAATTTTAAGTAACGTAAGAATTTCTATATAAAAACAAAAAAATGCATATGACCGAAACGATAAATCCAGACACGCGTTTAAAAGTAGAAATATATTATCACGGTAATTCGCTGCACAAGTGACGTGACTTTGACGTCATAACTTGTCGATAATTATATAATGTACTGTACTTTATATAATTAAAAAATTTACGTAATGTGGTAATATGATTAACTAATAATTTCATAATTAATTAATTGGTATAGTTAATTAATTAAAGGCATTGATACTCGGCACAAAAGAACACAGAAATTACAAAGAAAACATCTTTGTAATTTTATGTTTATTATGAAGACAAGCACTTACCATTCCTTTCTTCTTTTTCTTTCTTTAAGCGACTTGCATTCGGCTCTTCAGAATGAATTTGTATCCGCGGTCCAACGTGAACTTGTGTACAGTTCTTGAGCATCGTTGGAGATTGATTACAATTCTCCTCTAAAATTATTTATCATTTTATAAGTTTATCCTAATATTAGTTACCTGACAGTAAAAATTAGCTGTGTAACTATATAATAGGAAACACTTTTGTGCTTCAAAAGAATCTCTATAGAAATATATTAAAGCATAACAATTTAAATTTCGGTAAATTATTGTGTTTTACTGTTTACAAAAATTTATGTAAATTCGATATTTTTATTTTTGGTATATATATGTGAAAATTGAAAATAATAGTTATTTTCAATGATTATCTTCTTCTTCAAAAAATAAAATAATGTTTGTTTAACAAGTTTATGATCTTTATTCTATCAACAATACAACTACAGTCGACCCCCCTATAACACGGTAGATACGTTCCGCTTTATAAGAATTTTGCGTTGTAGGAATCCTTAAATACATGAGCCAATCACAGCCCGACACGTGTGCAGTTTACGGACTACGGCTGTTTGAAAGGTTTTCTTCCATAAAATTAATCGATTCTAGACTAATTTGACTCAATATTTCCAAAATACGTATAATTTTTTGGGAATAATCCATATAAACTATGCTATAAACAAAAAGTTGTAGGATTACTTACCGAGTGTGCAGCGTTCGACGTCGCCATTGCTTAAGCTTGTTTTCGTCGCGAAGCATTGCACCAAACGGCGGCGCAATTTCTGATAAGTTATTTTTCTGCGAAAAATTCGTTGAACTTTGGAGACATCATTAATATAAATAATTTTCATGGCCGTTGAATAAGAAATGCTTCTTTCACAAGAAACGTATAAAATTACACTACTGTATTGGACTTACAGTATCTAATTTACATACTGTACAGACGATAGTAAACTCAACTTACCCGCCTAAACTCTCTGTAGCGTAACGCTGGACGGCAGAAAGTATATATATATAATTATAATAAAGTTAAAATAAATTAAGTTAATATATAATTATATATACAACACCTAATTTATATATAATTTATATATAATACTGTACAGATGATAGTAAACTCAACTAACCCGCCTAAACTCTCTGTAGCGTGGCGCTGGACAGCGGAAAGTAGTTCGGCCGCTCGTCCACTATTGGTCCAGATTTGACCAATCCTATCGCGACACGATTCGGCGATGACGTCTTACCGCATTATACGAGTCTCTTTTAGCGTCTTTATACGAATACAATTTTTTCGCCACGTTATAGGAATGTACATTATAGGAATCCACGTTATAGAGTGGTCTACTGTAATCCATTTTTAAGCTGTTAGAAAGTGACAAAGAATAGCGAACAGCCAGGAGTAAATGAATTTCTTAGAATCTCGTCTATTATAACAACGAAAGAGTTTTATTATTAAAGTAAGAGATAATAAAAACAATTACCCTTTAATATTTCTTTAAATATATTTTCATTTTGCGTCACACTATACGTTGCCTGTTAATTAATACATGTATATACATTATTATATTTAAATTAGTCTACAGAACAGTTAATAGAAAGTTAAATTATAAATGGAAATTCTATTTAATATTAATGCGCCACTGTAACATGTCGTATAAGGAAGCATTCTGATTATTTTACAGTTCGTAAAAAGACATAGGCATTATGTTTCAGCTAATAATTTACTTTCACAAGCTATTTTCGACACGAATCATTTTATCAGAAACTGTTTGAAATTACAACAGATCAACAATGGTAAACAAAAGTTCTAGAAACTGTGAGTTTGAAAATCAACTTTATTTTAAAAAACTGAATGAATTTTCTAGGCTGCTATGTACAAGTATGAAGATAAAAAATGGGAATCGTGTCAAGTTGACCCTCCGAGTTTTTGCAAAGCTCCACGTTTCGATACTTCCTGAACCCCAAACAAGTCAAACAAATGTATGTGTATATGTGTTGATGTCTATTTCGCTAAATAACTCAGAATGGAGCAAAGATACAGAAACGAAATTTGGCACGGTAGCCTGTATATAAGGGATATTGATTCTATTAAATTTTTGTTGTAAAAGGTCCAAGAGATGAAAAGATGGTGAGATGGTGGTAACTTGTCGTATCTCGCGAGGGGTCAGACTCATCGAAGATTTCACTTGCTAGCATTTACAGTGTTTTATTAAAGTTATTTCTACCCTCAAAATTAAGTCCTTTGCTATTTTATAATAATCAATAATAAATGAAGTTTTAATAACAAAACTTTTATCTCCACATGCTATTCTACTTATATATTTTCATTAATAATACAAATGTTAATTGTAGAATATTATCTCACCAAAGCAGGGAAAGTTACTTAACTCCTTGCTGTATTTTTTCTTTATCATAACAGAAAATCAAAGTGGCATAATACTGGTTCCCAAAAAATAGTTGTGATAAAACAACATATAATTTTTCCCTAAATTATAATCTCACCCTTACAAGTGTTGGTTAGTTGGTAAAACAGTGCATGATGACTGGCCTCACTATCAGAACCTAATCTGTTATTTTTGACCGATTTCAGTTTGACTTACTATTAAAATACACGAAGTATTAAACGCAAGAAACAAAATTTGTTTGCTAATATTAACTTAAGATGTTCGAGGCTACTGTAGGTGTAAACATGAGTAGAGAATTTTGAAGTAAGAAAGAGAAATATTCCACCTATTCGCCTATTTTTACAGTAAATGCGCGTTAATAGCAGACACAGCAAGCCTAAATATTATGTAATATAACAAATTTATAAATGGAAATTATTTTTAGTTTATGTGTTAATTACACGTGCTCATCTTGAAACTCTGATTTAGGCTACTAACTTTTCAGAAGTTGTAAATATTTTCCCATACTTAAAATCTGATACTTACGAAGTTACATATTTCAGTTTTTCGCACGAAATTAAACAAAATCTTTTAGTCATTATGAAATTATGACTGTAATTTAATATAATTTAATTTATGTAAACCCATAATTTAGATTAAAAGTAAATGTATTTTGCAGACTTACATTTGCAACATGTTTGTAATTAACAGGACAAACGAGGACATTCTTCTCGTCACTTGCAGCTTCTGCCTCTGCCATTTCTTTGATTCGATCTCAATGATTTCTGTATAAAATAGAAACATTTTACACATTTGTTCAATTAATTTCAAATCTATTAAAATATGATTTTAAACTTAACATATAAACGATTGTATAAAGCAGTTAAAATTTTTTTTTTACACTCATGAAGTTTCTTTCTTTCTATGATGTGGTGCAATTTCACCTAGTAATAAATAGAGAAAGACCAATCGGAGACCGAGAAAGGGTATTAATAATCAATAAAATAACGATTTTCGAGACCACAGGATACTTAAGCCAAAGCCACAAGAACACCGGATTCCTTGCCGTGACATCCCGCGATACAATGTCCCTCCCTGGGATGTTTCCTTCAAGGTTGCATCTTCGACTTTTGCCGATGTATCCTCCTAAAGCTATAGATCTTTGTTGAGAGAAACTTCAGAAATTCCGATCTGCATTCGTTTCCTGTTCGAGGACTGGTCTTAATATGCAACATTTGGTCAGCGATAAGAACCATCCTCGTCTTCTTCTTCTTTCGAAGAATACACTCCGAAATTTACAAGGAGTTCAGCCCTTCTACAAAATAATACTTTTATTATAAGTTATTATAATAAGTCTAATAAACGGGTCGTGTTGTTTGTAAATCTCCGATCATCGATCTCAGACTCAATTGCTCCCACGTGTCGTCGACTGTTACTCTCGGCAGCCCGGACGGCAATACAGATGATAACTATACATCTGGTATAATCGTTATTATTTTTTTTTTTCTGAAATTTCTTTCATCCCAGAAGCTTCATAACTTCATAACAAGGCAAATGACGGAATGTGAGTTGCGGTATATTCGAAAGCTAAAACAACAATAATAATTTTGTCTTTTGAACACTATATAGTGTGAACACACGAACACTTCAGTATTTTATGCCGCTCACACGAAGAGAACTTTCAGTATTTTATGCCGCTCTCTTACAGGGAACTTTTTACATTTCATCTATTCTCAATTACCAATACAACATGATTTCACACGAGCGAAAGAAGATTCGAGAAAGTATGTTATGACGTTATTTTGAGATTTTAATAGTATAATATTAGTCATTTTACAGATGAAAAGAACTATTTTTCACATAATTATATTGAAATATTGGAAAGCTATCCAATTATAATGATTAAAATTATAAGTACTTAAACTTAACGTATTGGCAATGCCCGATATTTTCTTATCTAACGAAAAGAATTTATTAAATATAAGAAGAGATTTATAGTAATTTAAAGCTTATTAATAATTTGTTAATATTTACATTTTTAGTCTATTATTTTTTAATTAGTTTTAAATGATATAGTTTAATAAATTCATTTTTTAAAATATCGAAAAAAATCTTACTTTCTTAATGTGAACTGAAGTCGTGAAGATCCTGCATATTCGATTTCTGTATTATCATTTCATACAATTGAAAATATGGCATCCGAAATTAATATTTCTGCTTAGAGAAGTAGCGCGTGACTGCATTAACGTCATCGGTAAATTTAGTGACATCACTTTATAATATTCAAAGTACTTTGATAGGACGTATCTACTCGAAAACCGATAACACCACTCTGATGACAGAAGGAGTGACTAGAAAGATTTACCTTTATCTCTGTCAAATTGTTTTACTAAGCAGCAGTTGATCACCTCGTCCTAACTGTAGTAACAGCAGACAAACACTTCACTGGGACATTCAAGGAAGTACTTACGTAATTTTAAGAGGAAATATACTTTAACTTTGAGAAGTTTTACTGTTAACTGCTTCATCTATTGAAAAAGTTGTGCAAAAATATAAATTGATAACTGTAAATAATCAGTAACTAAGCTGAAATGTATAGGTTTCCTACAGAAGTGTTATCGATACTATTATCACACATTAGAGAGATGATTATTTTCATCAATATTTCTATATTAATAATAAAACATATTTAATTGTGTATTGTGACATGTACTAACTACATTAAAGTTAAAATTATTGTAATTAATTGAATTTCTTTATCTTTTTATTCTGAATTTTATTAAAACGCGTTAAATAACCTATAAATTATTTGTTTTTATATCTTTATTTAATAGTGTGCATAATGTAAATAATTTCCTGACAGTACGTTTAATTCTGATATTAATATACATTATTTACGTTAATATCTATATTTATATATTTATATCTATCTATATATAGGCCTATATATATATATTGGTACATTGTAGCCGCGTGACAAGGGCTCATAGCCAGCCATAGCACATGAGGGTATATGAATAACAATGTTTAAACAGCGAGCGCGACAGGGGCACTAGCCTGCCATTGAAACAGAGGGTATATGAATACACAAATATTTAAACAGTGAGCGCGACATGGGCACTAGCCTGCCAGACCAGGGGACGATTTCCCTTGTGTAGTACATTAGTTGTGGTATTGTGGCGGTTGTTGGGACTGCTACAAAGATATATCTGCAAAATAGTTTCGCTACTTAATAGGTGAAATCCTCTAATGCATTAACAGAAGGCAATCTGCTCACAAACAATTCGAAACTGAAACTATATTTTAACCTTGAAATGTTCTACTGTTAAGTGTTGCTATCTTTTGATAAAATTTAAAAAAATATATATAAGTTGATAAGTGTAAATAAGCTTTAACTATGCAGAAATGCTAATCTTTTGTACTATTTTATAATCAGAGGAGTGTTATCGATATTATTGTCATATATTTGATAACTTATTGTAATTCTCGATATTTCTTTATGAATAAAAAAAACTAATATTTATTATTCAGTACTGTATTTAAATAAAAGAATAGTTTCATTTCTCAATCGGTTAAAAAAGAGAGGAAGATGATTTTAAATATTCCCTTAAGACATATAAAACAAGTCTTCAAACAGTATATAATGTTATCATTTCCTAATTGTAGTTTCAGTTCATACTTTCGTATAAACTGAATATAACTACTTTTTCAATAACAAACATCCAATATTTTTATCCATGTACACGTTATTATTATTTAAGTGTTTGCATTTTATTCAGTAGCGCAGTCATACCATTTTTATTATTTACCAAAAATATCCAGTTATTTTACTACTCCGTATAAAGTTAAATGAAATTATTCTGTATGAGAAAATAAGATGGAAGTTTACATGCTTTAAGATCATTTTCTGTCATTTCTAACCTTTATATAACGTTGATTTTTACTATATCAATGCTGACCAATACCAATCCTTCACAGTAAATTTTGATGCGAAAAAGTTATTTTAATTTATACAATAAAACCACACATAGTTTTTAATACATTTACTACACTTGATTTGAATGAAATTTATATTTTCTTCTACGGGCAGTTTGGTGTATTTTATTCTTTGTTTTCGTATGTATTTTATAATCATCTTATATTTAACCTATTGTCGAAAAACCAATTTAAGTAAATTATATGCTAATTAATCTTGTAACACAGCAAAACTCGCCTAAATATTACGAAACATAAGACTTATATAAAAACGATTATTTACTTTGTACATATGTTATAATCTCACAAAAATGTTTTAATTGACGACTTAATGTTCAACAATTCAGTCTATCCATTTCATTATGCGAAAGCTCATCACTGGTGAATACCCGTAATATCATAAATAGAGAAAACACAATTCTTTCATATAAAACTTAATATATACTTCAAAAGAATTCTACATTATTACACATTTTAAATTCTGTTTAATGGCAGACGTAAATAAGATACGATCACGTAAAGTTTCGTATTGCTCCAACGAGAAAACAAAACTGTTAGATTGTTTCGAATCGTCGACAGTTTCCAATGCAACCAACTTCTCGTCTTCACTTATATTTAATGATTTCCGGATGTCAGACGAATTCAAGTTGTATTTTACGTTGGTAAACCTACTGAAATAACGATTCATAGGACATTCTACGCCAATAAAATAAATTTCTACATTAATTACGTTCAATATTTGAAGAAAATCGATAATCCTGAAGACAGATACTCTAATATCGTATAAATTATTCGAAAATTCTTCTTGAAGTGAGAGAAGATAAATCTTAAAATTATTCGTATAATTCCAGTGGTTCGAGAAGTTATTTACGTAATCCTCCCGTTTTTGGCATTTTGCTTCAGTCTCATCGAAATATAAATACAATTCTATAAATTCATACAAGTTAAATAGCTCTTGATAATAAATCAGCAATTCCCAATAATTAAATTCCACTTTTGAATTAAAGAGAAATTGTTCCCAATTTGTTTTCAGGTTGATTTATTTGTGAGCGCGAAAAAGGAATTCAGGCAGGAACTCTTCTCTCTCTACATGTTTCAAAAACTGTTTGGGTAAAGGTTTATCCTTATAAAGTCCCATTAAAAATAATAACTCCATATCATATGGAATAGACGGAAATTTAATAAATCCGAAATATATAGATAAAGCTGTAAGAAATTCGCCAAATGTCCGATGAACAAAACTGTATCGGATGATATTANTATTAGGAAAGGCAACACTGGCCACAGGGCGAATGAATGCACAGAATCACAGCGCCCGGCGAAAAACCACTAACAAGTAACGAAGTATTTTATTACTTTTCTATGTTTATAATCGAAAAAAGTAAACTGCTTGTTGCACCAGACACAGCCAAAGTGCGGTGTAGCGCGTACCATCACTAAACTCTTCCCGTACCCCTGGTGGTACACGTACCAGGCTTTGGGAAACACTGTATTAAATCAATATTTGTAACAGCAAATATTTCACAGATCAAAACTCTGAAACTTACGCTCGAATCCAAAATGCTTAATATATAGTGTCTTCACCATCTATTATAAGATTTTATTATTAATTGAAACGCCTGTAGGTTTTTTGCATTTATATGACGTAAAGTCTGCCATTGAAATTGGGTTTCTAAATTGTGTAAATAATTACAGCTTATCGCCACGATAATATTTATTAAATTGTATAAAAACAGTGTTATAAGTGTAGTCAACCATTCAATTTATCCATTTCAATATGTGAAAGTTAATCACTGATGAATACGTGTAATTTCTAGTGATGTGCCGGATATCCGTATCCGTATCCGTATCCGCGGATATCCGAGGGAAAAAAAAGATCCGTATCCGTATCCGTATCCGTTACTTTTTAGCGGATCNATTGTTAACATTTAGTAAAATTTAATCATTTAAAGTATTTTTTTTATTCTATCAATTTACTGTGTGTATTTTATAACAGTGTACATTAATCAATTTTCATGGAATCGTTATAAAATAAAAAAACTAAGAAGTAAATAAATTTTGAAGAATATCTTTCTTTATGTCAACTTTAAAGTTTATTATTAAAAAGAGAAAAACAAAAGCATTTACCGTTTAGAAGTTCCTTGAACATACTTTCATTTTGCCTCACTCTATCCATTGCCTGTAATTAAATAATATATTTATTACAATCTTTTGTCTAGAGAATTGTTGTCTAACCGAAATTGTTTACCGGGTCAAAACCAAAAATAAAAATATACTGTGGGCCGCACGTATTTATTTATCAATACAACAAAACATATACAATTAATTGTACAGTATTTTGTACGTATTTTAATGTGAAACTTGCTTTTCATTTTTTTCACTTAATTTTTTAATATCAACAGGTATTTATGAGGTTGTACAACATAATTGGTACAGTCGACCCCGTATAACACTGTTGATAATTTCGTTTTATATGAATTCCATGTTGTACGAGTCACTTAGATTTTACAAATACGTGAGCCGTTCACAGCCCGGCACACGTATTTATAAAATCTAAGTGACTCGTACAACATGGAATTCGTATAAAACGGAATTATTATTCTAACTGACTTTCATAAAGTTTGAGTTTTGCTATGAATGCTTCTATATTTTGATAGCACTCTGTGAACAATATGTTTTCACCTTGAAGCTACTTCTTAAGTTCGTTTAATTTCATTGTCATATTAGTAAGGAAACATAAATCCAGAAGCCACTGTCAGTCATATAATTTAGAGACATTGTGGTTTCTTTTCATTCATTAAAGTTCAAATTTCTTGACTCAATTTACAAAATATTTTATGCATATTCCACGACATAATTAGCAGAGACAGCTAAACAGAATAACGATATTAAAAATGGCTGCCGTGTCATAGAAAAGAAAACCAGTAATAAACGGTCATCAGATTTTGAAATGACAAAACATAACCGTTACACGAAGCGCCCTTTGGTGGCTGACTATAATCAAATAACTTGTACAGTAAAACATAATTAAACCCGTTAGCAATCTAAACACGGAATGACTTGAAATTTTAAATCTATATGCACGTGTAAATGTTTAATTTAATTCTAATTAAATTTTATTAGGCTTATTTCCACAGAATTTAAAGAAAACAATAAAATTTCTTATCTTTTATTGGAAACACAGAAGATCGTTGTAACTTAAGAACGTGTCTATTGTTTGACATTTATTACAGGTATTGGGTAAATTTAAGAAAAATTAATTTCATTATACCAAAGCACTAATTTTAAAATATTTCTTGTTGTAAACATACTGATTAAATTAAAATATATACAGTATGTACTGTACCTATATACATAGCCTATATTATACGTAATACATTTAGAGATTTATTAAAAAATATTTAATACTGTTTTAATGTGTGATTGTACGTGATAAAGTGTTATACGTCATATTAATGTGTTTGATGATACATGTGCAATTTCATTGTAATAAAAATCTATACAAGATAATTACAGTTTTAAAGAACCGCCAAAAGCATTGATTGCGCTGCAGGTTGGACATAGGTGGTCTAGATAACAGTTTAAAGAAAATTAAGTGAAAAATATAAAGTGTATTTTATATCAATGCACCTATAACATTATGAAAGCACTGTCTTTGGGTAC